TCTGAAGTTTAGAAATTTTCTTATCTTTGGCACCGCTTTTATTACTGTTGACATAAATGAAAATGAATGGTTGCAATATAAGCATGTAACTATGTCTTTTTTTTACACGTAATTGCAAAGCGATTTTCATATGGCACACTATTAATTGCTGATGATTCGGGTAGCCATTACAAACAGTGTACGAAGTGTTGAGAAAAGTGCAAAAATAGACACTATTATGGTACAAATATTGTAATCAATTGGGCAAGATTAAGATGCAATACACGTTTAAAAAAATACATTTTACAGTTTCTTGATTTTCCTTGGGCCTAGTACTAAAGTTTCTTAAATTTTTGGGCATCCTAGTGCTCTAGTTTGTTATAAATCAGTTTCAGATAAACCAGTTTCAGATAAACCAGTTTCTGATAAACCAGTTTCTGGCAAACCAGTTTCTGATAAACCAGTTTCTGATAAACCAGTTTCTGGTTAGTAAACTAGATAAAAACATGTAGGCCAGAACCCCCGTTTTTTGTCAGCTCGAGGCTGATGGCTAAGGTATTTTGGTAATGATAGGTACAAAATCAAAGAATACCTTTGGCCTGTTCTGACAAGGTTTCTTTCTTGTTCCTGTGCAAGTGCACTCAATGCTACAGTACTGCCTCGCTGACTTGCAAGGGCATCCTTTCCTGAGGCACATGAAACTATAAAATAAAAAACCGTTAGATGGCACCCTTGCTGTCTCACATTTTATTTGCTTTTTACAAAAAAATTTTAAATTTGGGTAATGGTAATGGCTCTTCATATTTTTTTAGCCATTAGAAAGGCCTATTTTAAATAGGGTAGAGGAGACTGACCTTGTTTTTTGTCAACTTCTTCTTGGCTGTTTTGATGTAGATTTTGCGCAATCGAAATTGGAGTGCTGGTCTATCTTCCAAATACAAAAACTTGTCGCTGATTACTTTCATCGTCCATAGTTTTGACATATGGCAATATAAATCTTCTTGCCATTTTGTAAAAATAAGCGCATCGTTCGGTGGCCTTTAACCGCCACTCACTAAAATAAACTGATTCGCATGCTAACAAAACAGATTTGCATTGAAACAAAGTGATTTTCCCGCTGACAGAAAAACCACTCACACATAATTCAAGCGAGTTGCGCAAAAAGAAAAGAAACTCGCACAAAATTGAAACTCGACACACATTTTTAGTTTCAGTCACACGAAATAAAACAAATCGCACATAAAACAGAATGAGTCACACAATTAGAAAAAAGGTCGCGCATATGTGTAACAGTGGAAAATAATCTAAATCGGCCTTAACGAAGCTCCAATGCCTGCCAAAAGTCTTGGAACACTGACATCAATTTCCAAGGTCTAAACCAATCATCCCCCTCTCCCCCACGGAACAATGTTGGTTTACTATCAAACGGACTAGGATTTTAGGAAGCACTTTCTTTTGCGCTTCTTTTATGATATTTCTCTAAATCATCAACATTGTTTGAGGGGGAAGGGGGCGGAAGTAGCAAATTTTTTTCATGAAAGGAATGAAAGATATCAAATGCAGCGTAAATTGGTGGGTGTTCCAAGTACTTTTGGCAGGCATTGTCGTTTCTAAAGAAGATCGCTTGTAATGGTGCACTTTTTGTGTTTTCTTATGAAAAACCGTTATTGCAGTTGCTGCTCTTCCGTATAACCTCGCTCAAAATAGCTGAAATTAAAGAAATGGTTTAACAATAATGCAAGGATCAAGCTTTATCAAGAACTAATTCTTTTGGTTACTTGAGTTATTTTAGAAGAAAAACAGATGCAAATTTTGCACTATATGTTAATAGACATATCCTTTCTTTGAGTCATGCGACAAATGCGACTCATTTACACCTTGTGTTGCTTAAGAATAGTTCAAGAAGGCTCAAAGCAAAAAAACAGGGCAGTTGTGTGTATGCGTATGTCTCAACCACATTCCCTCTTGAACCGAATCAGTTTCTCACGAAGTTATTTGTATGTAAAATTTAATCTTTGTGTGTACACTAGAAGTATGCATTAATGCCATAGTGAACATTTGTTCGCTTGAATTTTTGCTCTTGCCCATCCGAGATCTTGTAGGAAACTACCGTACACTGCAGTCCTGGTAACTTGCTAATTTAGACTTCCGGTCTGTCTGCATGGTTTTGTGATCGAAGTGAACTTTCTTTTGAACAAAATGGAGTTAATTGTTAATATTATGCTATAATATCTAACTGTCAGTGCTGTCTGTCCCAATAGTCCAAAATACGCGCATATTATTCTATTCCGATGATGAGAAAGTGGGTCTTGTCCCTGAAATTCCCGCAGTTTGGGTAAAACATAATGGCCTAGGCTGAACAGAAATTCATTTAATTCAATAAAAAACCTACCCTTTTCCAACGTGTGACTCATTCTTTTTTAAGTGCTACCTCTTTTCTAATTGTGCGACTCATTCTGTTTTATGTGCGATTTGTTATATTTTGTGTAACTGAAACCAAAATGTGTGATCAGTTTCATTTTTCTGCGAGTCTTTTTTTCTTTTTGTGCGACTCACTTGAATTTTGTGTGAGTGGTTTTCTTTCTATGTCAATCGGTTTTTTCAATGTGAATCTGTTTTGTTTATATGCGAATCAGTTTTATATAAGTGCATGGCAGTTATGGGCCACCGTAGCATCGCAACACAACAACGCAGCTACGAGTGGAAACCGGCCTTTTGTTAAAATTAGCCAATCGCAGAGCAAACTGCCTTTAAAGGCTCAAAAACGTAATTGCTGTGTTACGTTTCACGCTGTGTCCAAACGGTATTCTTGTTATAGGTTGTCCCTTATAACATCGATCAAACAGATTGTGATACCAGCATAAATCTTCGGACATCTACTAAGTTTGATGCACTCAGTAGATAAATGTGATAAGAATAATAAATGTCATACACTTCATGAAAGTTTTTGGTCTGTGGCGCAGGCTTAACCTGCGCGCAGACTCGCGGAGGAGAAAAATGAGAGGAATCATTTTTCATCCTCCGCCAGTCTGCGCGCAGGCTACGCAGGCTAGGCTTTATGAGATTTCAATGAAAAAACCAACGTACAGAAAGCAATAGGAACGTTATGTGTGATGAACAAGAAATTCATGTTTGAAATAAATACCTTGTTCATCGGCAGTATAACACATGGGCCAAAAATGCAAAATCGAAGTCAAACAAGCTAAATTACGAACATCAGCCTTTGTTTTCCATGTGCTTGAAAACTTCAGAACCACCATTCTGGTGACGTCATGCAAACTTTAAATAGCAATAACTAGTTATATGCAAGTTTAATAGAGTTTATTCTTTAGAACTTTATTCTCTTATTACAATGCCTAACAAGATGGTTTTTCAAAAAAGAGAAGTAAAAATTGTGATGACCCATATAAAATGAGGTCATTGATAACTTGATTTCTTTTGTGTCACAAAATTGTATCCAAGCTAAAAGTATTTAGCAAAGGCTCAAAGTACCCAAAGCAAGAACAAAAACTAAGATTATGCACTTTGCTGGAGTGTCGTGGGAATCCCCTGTCGATGGTTGCCGCTGAAGGACTGGAAAGTGTGCGAATTTTTATGCTTCCAGTTCCCAGAAAAATGCACTATTTTAAGCTCATTTTAATAAAGCAATCCTCCTAATTCACTAAAAATCATTTTATTGTTGCAAACGAACTGAACAACAGATAAAAACAAATGATACATTTTCGCCATGGTCTTGGAAATGTCATGTTGTCGCGTAACAAGCAGCAATAGTTGTCAATTTAGATCCCTCTTTCCGTCTTGGCATTCCTTTTGAATGAAAAAAGGATCTGGATTTCATTTTGAATTGTAGTTGACGCGTCTATCGAGAAACTTTTGGAAAAAAAGACACAAGGCACAATTTTACTTAAGGAAGGCCTGGTTTTTTTTATTTTATTCCAAAAAAGTCTTGAAACCAAACCATCAATGCTTAATTTGTTTACCTTCATATCATTCATATCAAGGAAATATCATATTCAACCAACGGGGCAACTACCTTTGCTTTATCCTGTATTGACTTTAAAACGTGAAGGTCTCTGAATTACCTAAACCGTTTCTTCCACTGAGAGAATTTTACCTGAAATTTCCTATTGACACCCCCAACACACACCGCCTTCTCCGGTCGTGGACACACCTTCCTAAATGTTAGACCAAGGCCAGGCCAAGGCAACTTAATCGTCTAAAATCAACAGAGTTTACCTCAATCAAAAAACGTACCTTCAACTCAATTATTCAAGATTTTAAGGCGAAAAGCTTTGAACTGTGATCTTTTCGTTTAACTACATCTACCAATAAGCTCCGATGAAATCTTTCAACGAAAAATCAACGAAAAAACATGTTTGCGAGCTCTTGTTGTGGTTTTTCACGCCTTTGCTTGATGGCCAGGAATTTTGAGGGGAAAGATCATTAGAATACGCATGTGTCATGGCCCTTCGACGTTAATTGGCTCAAGCAAATCATTAAGCTTTTCTTTCAACAATAGAAGGGAGACCTCGTCACCCCAACCAGAATTCTACCGAACTTTTCAAATAATTTTGAAATGATTTGCATTGTTCAGTTGCACTTGTGACTTTAGTAAGCGATACATTTGCAATATTGGTCTTGTATGACATATATTAAGCAAAGATGATTTCAATGTAGTTGGTTTATATTGTGTTTTCATAGCTAGATATAGTCTGCGACCCTACCACCGGGACCCCAACTGGGCCATGCCCGCACCAAAGGATACAAAAACTTGGAAGAAGCTGTAGCTTTACCCTAAACCATGTTCTGTCTACCATAGATGGAAAACAGCAAAATTATCTTCTCTTATTTGCGTTTTACTTAATATTGAGTATAATTACATGTAATCTTTTCATTTTTGTAGTATCTTTTATTTTATTTTATTGTAGTGATTTATCGTTTTTTTATACTAAGTTATTGTTTGTCGAAATTTTATATTGTAATCTTAATTCACCTACCTTCATGGTTTGATCATTTTCCAGTTTGCAGCCAGCCCCTGGGAATGAAGACTAGAATTATTGCAAATGATCAAATAACAGCATCATCCTCCATCCCAAACTACGAACCACGCAGAGGCTATCATGCTCGCCTTGACAACACAGATTGTTGGTGTGCAGATCAAAGTCAACCAAGAATTGGACAGTGGGTGAAAGTGGATTTGAAGCATACATTTAGCATAACAGGTATCACCATCCAAGGAGACCCTACAGGTGCATCAAGTTACATAAAAGAGTTTACTCTCAGGTACAGTGTTGATCTGACGAACTATGTGTATGTGACAACAACCACATACAATGATCCAATGGTAAGTCTTCTGAAAGTCTTGTGATATCTTTTTTGTTGTTCCAGAGTGACTTCTAAATCAGTTCTATTACTATTTTAACAAAAGTTTTGTTATTTGCCAGAACTTTTCTTTTTTCTCAAATTTCTAATGCAACGTATCTGATTGTTGCTGACTATTGAAATATTAGTATCTTTAGTTCAATAAAATATTCGATAGCATCTTAAGCTCACTGAAAGATATTCCAGTTTTTGCATGTCAACCTCACTAACAAAGAGTTATCAAAATCAACAATACCATTATAGCCTGTCATTCAATTTCTTAGGAAATAATTTGCTTGTTTTTGTGTTGATATTCTTTCCATTTTCAACTTTGGTGATAGCTAACTCAGTTTATTATTATTTAAGCATATATTCAGTAACTCGATTCTGCAAAAACACTTGGCAATCTTCTATGAGAGTATATTATTATTAATTTTTGCTCAATATTTTTCGGAGTTTAGCTCCAAATTAATATTTCCAACAACTTTTGTTGTTTTGTTTTTTTCTGATTGACCACATCTACTTAATCACAGGTTACATAATGTTTTTCTCTTATAGAAATTTACAGGAGCTACTGGTCCTAACCAGAAAATAGATGTGATGTTTCCTAATCGACCTTTTTCTGCACGATATCTTGAATTTAGACCTACAGACTCAAATAGTGCTTATTTGTGTGCTAGATTCGAACTCTATGGATGCCTCTATGGTATGTATTTGGTTTGACTTGTACGTCCCATTTTAGTGGCATCGAAAAAAGTGGATGAAATATGACTCTGCACCTATTGAGATGCGACCATACTATGATTTCGTCCTATTTGTTAAATAACTATCAATTTTAATTCTCGCTGCGCATCCTTGTTCGCTTTCACATACATCCTTATCTCGCCAACCTTGAGGCCTAGACCTGAACTGACAAACAAAAGCTACATACCTCATCACCAGAAATGTCCTGCTCTTCTCACATTCCCAGTATTATTCAGAAAAATTGGCATTGCTCTCTGTTGTTTATTAGATCATTCTAGACTCGTTTGATGAAGTTTTTTACTGTCATTAGATTCATCGTGACTTAATTGCGACACATATATCAAGCCTAAACTCTATATCACAATCTCCTGCAGTCTTTTTTAACTATCCGTTTTGACTTTAATCTTACTTCGCCTTTCACCTTTTTAGTCCTCTAGCCCAGGAAGAAGTGGCTTCAGCACAATGTCTATACCCTTCCCTAGGAAACCACCTTTGTCAGAGAATTTTGAAACATTTGCTACTTTATTAGAATTTATGAATTATTCAGCCCCCTCCCTAGAGCGACATGCCCACTGTTCCACTTCTTTAGCCATGAAATCTGTTATAGTCGAAGCTGCTCTCTGCTCACAAAAGAAGGTGGCATATCACGGTAGATTGCTACTACTGATGTCTATAAATCAATCTCAAATCTTTTCATTTCATTTTTGTTTGGACGGATCGATGCGTTTTTCGCTTGAAGGCAAATCGCGTCAGCATTTACGAGAAAAAACATTTTTACGCTGTGTTGCTGGCTTGTACCTCTAGCGCATAGAAATGAGATGTGGTATTCCATTTTGCAGTCTGTGGACAGGGCCTTGGCATTGAGCATGGCAGTGCACTTCCTTCAGGCTTTGCAATGACGTCATCTTCCCACTCCTCTGGACAAGAAGCGGTATCAGGTCGTTTAAACAATCCAACATCCGCTTGGTGTGCCTCGGGAACCACTAGCGAGTTTCTGCAAGTAGATTTTGGGAAAATCGTTACCGTCAGTGGAATTGCAACTCAAGGTAGCCCTAGCTCTGCATCTTGGGTGATAGATTTTTATGTTGACTATGGTACAACACTCAGCTCTCTTGTCACCTACCAAGAAAATACTGGGAATAAGGTGAGTTAAAACATGATTTATTTTCGGAGCCCTTTCTATTATGGCTTTGATTTGCTTTTGTTAGCACTGAGGAAATATTAACTTTACTAGTACTCCTAGCAGCACTTGAAACATGCTTGAGCATTCGTAGAAACATAGTGTGGAAATTGAATGCAATTGTACATTTACTCAACGTCGAGGATTAGGAATTAGTTGTTAGCATCATGGCCCTTTATCTTCATTAGCCCCGAAAGATAGTGTTGGTCAGCACTGAATGCAATCATGTCTTCATACTTTCTACCAACTCTTTTTTAGCTTTTCATTGGAAACTCTGATCAGAACACGATTGTTGTGAACTGGTTCCGTGTGCGGCTGCAAACGAGATACATGAAAATAAAACCAAACACGTACAATTCAGGTGTCTGTATGCGAATTGAGATTCTTGGCTGCAACTTAGGTAACAACTCATCCTTACATTTCTACGAGTGATTCTTGCTGATAATAAAATACTGTGCATGTCTCTAACATGAAAAAGTCTCTTTTCAGGTAATGCTGACAAGTATTTTTATAATTTCATCAAAAATAATAATATTTTTCATGGACTTACATAAATGATATACACTTTGGCTAGAAATAAAAACTGTTTGGACGGGATAAATGCTCAAAGTTTTGGTTTTTTCTTAGCAATTTTTATGATAACCTTTTTCTAGTTTTTGGTTTTAGTTCATGTAGTTACTTTTTGGCGCGTTCTCATTTTATCTACAACCAAAAAAACGCAAAATCTTATATCAATGTATGAAGCTTGAAGATTAGTGAATTCGATCTAAGAGGAGATGTTGATAGGGCATCGCCAACAATCCCCTTACAAAACCTGTGCATTTTCTGTGGGACACCAGATACTAATGATACTAACATTATCCATTTAATTAATCTTTTGGTGGTACAAAACTTGTAAATGGCTTCGAAAAAAGCAAACATTTAGTAAACTAAAGCTTTTCGTCTGACACTCTTCAGAGTTTAAAACGTCAGAACATAGATCGAAAACTCTACGCTAAGAACTATATATACCCAGTTGTGGATCGAAATAGGCCAATCAGAAACACGAGTACATGACTGTATAGGTTGACCAATCTGTGCCGCTTGCCTATTAGAATGTTACCAGTGGAGTCCTAAGGTGAAAACAAACTCTTTTGTCTACAAAGTAGCAGTTTTTTCGTGCTTATGTAGATAGATTCTAAAACTGCTATGTGGAACGACGATCGGGCTTTACCGATAATCCGAAACATGTCGCCATTATAGTTTTTTGCACTATCTGGGATTTTGGACTTAATGGCCTTCACACAGCCCTACATTTTACATTTGAAAAGGAAGAAAATAACTCCTTGCCATTTCTAGATGTTTTGGTTTGATATGAAAAATCTGACACTGGATTTCTCACTAGTGTATTCCGTAAACCCACATTTTCCGGGTTATACACTCGATGGAGTTCGTTTTGCCGAAAACAAGGAAAAATCAGCCTCATCAAAACGCTTACACATAGGGCACTGATGATTTGTTCCAAGTCTAAACTCGACTCGGAACTTGAAAAACTAACTGAGATTTTTCTGGAGAACGGCTATCCAGAAGATATTTTTTCAGTTCACATTAAGGAGAAGATAGAAAATTTCTCGGCTGACGTAAAATTTGGTCCTCAAACGTGCCCGGTCTAGTTAAAACTACCCTGGATCGGTAACAGCTCCCTTCGTTTTGAAAGCCAAATAAAACAGGCCATTACTAATTA